GTTTTGAGAGCTTTTTGAAAGATAGACAGTTTGAGGTAACCTAATATTCAAGTCATTAGCACAAACAGTTTTTGCGTTTCCATTGTTTTTCTATGTAAACATGCACTATATGAATATGTTTGACCGTTGCGGTTTGACATCTTGCGTTTTTTTTGCGGTGTTTCACAGCTTTCTAAAAATATGGCGCTCAAGTTAAAAGTTTAAATTAAAAAAATTAAAAAATGCATCTCTAGACCTTGCTGTTTTTTGATTCCACTAAAAAGGAGATATTTTGAAGAATGTTGGTAACTAAACAGTTGCCGGTAGCCATTGATTTTCATAGTATGGGAAAAAATTTACTATGGAAGTCAATGGCTACCGTCAACTTTTTGTTTACCAACATTCTTCAAAATATCTTCTTTCATGTTCATCAGAAGAAAGAAACTCATAGAGGTTTGGAACAACACAAGGGTGAGTAAATGATGACAGAATACTCTTCTTTTTGGGGTGAACTATCCCTTAAAGTTAGTAGTTGAAAGCAAACCCCTAACTGTAAGAATGAGCAATAGCAAATGTTACGCTTGCCTTAGCAAACACTGCTAATGAATGTATTCTACTTCCAAACAAATCAATTCCAACCGCATTCTGAAAGGTCCCAGTGAAACACGCAGTCATTGGCAGGGCCTGTGATTTCAGCCCATTCTCATTTTTTTGGAAACAAAGATGACCTGGACAACAGAGGCTTGATTATCAAAACCAAAACCAGTGGAGCATTTTTCACTCACCACTGACCCTCCAAAGTTCTCCAAAGTGATCATGGAAAGGCCCCGCACTCCCCCTCTGCTTGTTTCTCTGTACTTGCTCAATGGACTGCACTATTTTATGGTGGGAGATCAGGAGGAGAGAGAGCAACTAACGTGGCACTTACAGTGTGGTGCCTCTGGTCTCTTTCTATCTGTCCTCCTTTAAGTAAACGAAAGGTGAGGCACAGACCTTGTCACCTTCTTGTTTTCTCATGATTTCTGTCGTTTCCCGAGGCCCGTGGCTGTAGTCTGAGATTCTCACAATGCTGCTTAATGTTGTGTCCTGAGCTCTGATAAAATAAGGACAAAGCTCATTCCTGTTGCCTGCATTTGGCAGTGAGAAATTTTCAGGAACTCGTACCATATCTGCAAAGCAAAACATCATTTCACAAAAACTGATAGTCTAATGTTTTTTTTTTTTTTTAAACAGCTATGGTTTCTAAAAATAACAGTCTATGTTTGAATCACAGCTGATTTGACTGGACCAGAGTTTTGGATCAGAATCTCACAAATCCTGCCAAGAACATTTCCAGGTCATTTCACCTCCTAATGAGTAATTAAATATCGTATAAATAAAACAAAGCCTATTTTAAGATTTTGATTATGACATTACTTTCAGGACAATTATACCAATTTCCCCTGAAATTCCAGTCACAAAATTGCAAAACAAACCAAATATTCTAATTATTTTTTTCTTTTCTTTTTGTAGTATTCTAATTACTATAATGCATAATATATGTATAATTATATATATACAATATATATAATTTAAATCAAGAATATTTATATATCATGGTAGTATTTGTTGTACTGTCTTTAGAAACTTATATTTAAATAAAAAAATCACTCTATTACAGTATTTCTTATTGCAATACATGTAAAAAATAAATAAATAAAGTATTATAAATGCATAAATGAGGATTACATTAAAATCTCCACTAAGAATAATGAAAATGACAAAAAAGTTGAAAATGAAAACATTCGGATGAATAACAATAATAACAATTTGATGAGAATTTGCATAATTGCTATAATGCAAATAAAACCCTAAATATTTAGTTTTTTTCTCCATAATAACATTTTTATAATAGGATATATCTTTTTATAATGTATAACTTCAAAATGTAAGCTTTTTTTATTTATAATTTATTTATTTTTCCTTTGATTGTGATGAAATTGGACTTGGGATATATTATTGACAGGTTTCATGAGATTCAAACATTTTTAGTATCTTGAAAAAAAAAGTAGACTGTGTGACAATAACAGACAACAATCGAAGTTCAACATTTTTTTTTCAAAAAAGCGAAGTTTTCCTATAAGCCATACAGGAGACCTTACCTGTGCAAACTTTCTGGCAGCCTATGAAACAAGACCCTCTGTAAGCAAACACATGGCTCCTCATGGAGAAGACATTATGAAGATGGATAGAGTCTTGAGGATGGTAGCAAGATGCTGTGAGATTCTTGCTGGCACACGTTCGAAGCCAACCATCACAGACAAAAAGCAGATTCTCCTGCCCAGCACAGGACAAAAGTCGTCTCACTCTGTGACTGTCTCTCTCCCCCTCTCACTCATTTTTGCCTTCCTGTTCTGTCAACCACTCCTAGTCTGACACAAGGCATTCATTCTTTCAGTCAAAGAACTCCTCACTTGTTCACTAACCTTGCAGAGACCCCTGCTGCAAAAATAAGTCAATTTCAGGAAAGGCTGAAACTCACTTTTCTGCAGAAGGTGCACAAAAGACACTGGCATCCACAATGCTGTTCCTCTCTTTGAGTGTTTCTTGGGAAGGTGCCAGAGCACTGGAGACCTGAGGTCAGTCCGGCTTTTGTCACTGTTTGTATAGTCCTGTGCCAGTCCTGACTCTTACTGGCACCACACCAAAATAATAATAATAATAAAAAAATATAAAAAGCTGCTCTTGTATGATCAAGAGCTTCTCTCCAATGAGACACACTAGTCGTCTTCCAGCTGATCAAAAACAACAACCACAAATGTAAGCTTATAAAAAGACACTTGTGAAGATGCGTTTGCTGAGGAGATATAGTTCGTAGAGTATCAGACAGTATATGACAGTACAAAATGTATTTCAGACAAACTCGTTGTAATTGTAGACCAAGTATAATAAGCTAAAAAATATATTTATACTTGGAAAAATTACTTGATTATTTGCTTATGTTTGATATGAACAACAGGAAAACTGAACAAGAGATCAACTGTAAACGCAGAAAAGTATCTTTAAGAGATTCGCGTGCTTATGGAGTATCTGTGTGACTCAGTTCGGGCAATTTTCCCTTGAGACTGCAGTCAGGACTAATGAAATAATATGCTACAGATGCCCCTGGATGACTGAACAATTCAAAATACACATTTTCACAATCCGTGTCAGCGTATACAATCCTGTATGATGAGGCAACGGTGCCCTCTAGTGACTGATCAACACCTCATTAAACACAACATCACAAGATGGACCAGGTAAGCAGGGCCGTGCACAGACCTTTCGAGGGGCATGTGCTGAAACAGAAAAAGGGCACCCCCCCACAAATGTGCATTTTGTCCGTCATTAAAACGGCGGCGTTACGTTTTCATCACCAGGTGTTTGTTGTAGCTATATGGGCGCGGCGCTCAGTTTCAAATACATAAATTATGAGCCTTTATAGACATAGTGTTTCTTGCGTAAAGAAAACGCTGTACTTATTCAAACAACAAGATCTTTATTTACCCTTGCAGACCTAGTTCAGCTGCTGTGGAACTTCAGTTCATTCAGTCAAGATAGAGGGGGTGGAGTTATGAGGTTTACTGACAGTTTGAGCGGATCCAACAAGATTTAGTCACAAGATGTTTTTAATACCTTTCATTAGCTAAATATTTGTAAAGCAGACAGACAGATGTAAAGGGTGACCAATATCATTGATTTATTGAAGGAAAAAAAAACACCATCACCAAAAAAAGGGCACTTCGGTGTGTAAGGGCAAAAAGGGCATGTGCTCTGCACAGGTTGAGCCCTACCTGTGCACGTGCCTGCAGGTAAGCAACCCTTATCTCAGATTCATAGTGTTGTCTCAATGCAAGTAATCTAGAAAGCAACATAATTATCCTGAACTTTAAAATAAAGCTGAGCTGGCCAGCTATTTACTCTTCCCTTTTTCCTAATATAACACATAAGTGTGAAATAAACCTGTGGCAGAAGCACTCAACTCTTAGGCCAGTAAGACTGCTGTTTGTTCTGTTTCTTCCTAAGGAAATTCCTCATGTTCACTCAGAATGCATCTCATTTCCGCCTGTGTGTCTCACAGGTTAAAAGTCCAGCTCAAAGGCTTGTCACCATAGTGGGGGCAAGCAAGGCAGCTGGAGGTCCTATGACAGGTGCGGAAGACTTTAACTCTCGCTCTCACTTTTACTGCGGGAAAATGTCCCTGTGATGGCCTCTGGAAGAATGGAATTATATTGTCAGCACCTTAAGGCCCGAAAACCTGTAAACCAACTTCTGGCATTTGTTGTACGTTCAGCATGCAGAAAACACATACACTGTTTTCACTATTGTGAATAGACAGACAGACAGACAGACATACAGACAGACAGACAGACAGACAGACAGACAGACAGACAGACAGACAGATAGATAGATAGATAGATAGATAGATAGATAGATAGATGAATAAAGGTTCCTAAGATATTTTAGTTATACTTATGACAAAAAGTTGAAATTATGACAATGACATAAAAAGTAGAAATTAGATACTGTCATAATTATGACACTAAGTCATTATTGAGATAAAAAGCTAAAATTGTAACATAAAAAGTAAATTATACAAAACAAACAAAAAAATTGATAAAAGTTAGATTGACAAATTGTGATTATGAAAAACAATACTTGTTTTATTTGCCTGTTCTGATAATGCAAAAAAAGTTAAGTATAACATTTTAACTAACTATACTATAAACTAAAATATACAATTAATTTAAATATAATTTTATACTTTTTTTATACATCAGAACTGGCAAATCACTCCATTCTGTCTGAAACTTCAGATACACATTTAAAGACGACACAAATCTAAGAAACCAAACACAGAAAACAGAAACCATGAATTCCGATTCACACATCACATCATACACAAACCCAAAAGCATGAAATCATACAAAACCCCACATGTCCAGTTATTGATATCACCATTAGGGTTTGTGGCTCGGTTTCAGAAATAAAATGGAACTAACCTGAAATCGGACCTTCTTGAGTATCATATTAGAATCCAGATTCCAGACGCTTTGCTGCTGTATCTTGGTATCCCGAACGTTCAGCATGTCGTACTCCTCATTAGCCAACCTGAACGAATGGCCTATTTCATACTGAGATACAGAGCAATACATGCCACTGACCTCCAGCAAACTCACAAATCATTAACTCCAAAAACGTAATCCTTCGTAAATAATTCAAATGTTTTTAATGAATCTGACTGATCCTAAAATCCCATGTGACCATGTAAGTTCCTAGCCCATGCTAGTCCCTCTGCCCCCTCACTCTTTCATGTGACCCTTTAACAAAGCCTAGCTCAGTACTTATCGGTTTGTTCATTCATCCGAAAGAAAGACCCGCCCTCTTTTATGACCGGGATAGTGGTCATTAACACACCTCCTCTTTTACCTCAACCCCAAACAGGGATACACCCCCTCTCCTGCTCTCAAGGGAACCATATGGTCACCAAACGATTTGGCTGGGACAGTGTGAGAACTATGGTTCATCTGACGCTCTCATGTGTTATGAGCAACCTTTACTTTCTCTCCTTTACAATCACTGGCCACGCATCACTCCCTCCAGACTTCACCTCATTATTCCTCCATTGCGAGCGATCAGATAGGAAATTATTTTACCAAATGAAAAGAAATACACCACAGAGTGCTTTGAGAGACATAAAACTAGCACAGCTATGAAGATATAATTTAGCATCATTATACATAACCAATCATAATCAAGTATTCCAAAGAGCCATGTCATAGCAGATGTAAATGATCTCACTCATAGTAATTGTATGAGACAAGGTGCCCATATCATTGTGGAAGTGATTAATTGACAGGAATCTCCTCCACTCAACCATACTTAATACATTATTAACTCCAAATACCATTGCCTCATCTCCGAGATTCCTCACATTCCTGCATAATCAAGTATTCCAAAGAGCCATGTCATAGCAGATGTAAATGATCTCACTCATAGTAATTGTATGAGACAAGGTGCCCATATCATTGTGGAAGTGATTCATTGACAGGAATCTCCTCCACTCAACCATACTTAATACATTATTAACTCCAAATACCATTGCCTCGTCTCCGAGATTCCTCACATTCCTGCAAAAATCCAGAACAATCTCCCTGTCCACTAGGCCACGGCCCAAACCAGGCCTGGGCATTGAATTTATCATTACAGATAATACCATTCTTACAGCAAAACAATGACTACAATCAACCACCTGAGAGGTTTTTAACATGTTGCTAGGGATTTCCAGGTGCTTAAACATGCCACTATTTAACAAGCTACATGATTTGAGGCACTGATTTATGATTTGATGGCATGATTTATGCTGCTGTCTTTAATACATAGAGTTAGGGATTTTAAACAACCCCCTAACTCTAGCCTGCATCACAAATACACGTATCATGCAGCTACAGTCAATTCAAAATTCTAGGCAAAACCACGTATTAAAGCAGGAAGAGCCCAGAAAATACACTTTAATTCAATTTGACTTTATTATTGATTAAAGGTATTCATAAGTATTTTACAGCAGAATGGAATGTCGTAACCCTCCCCTTGGTGTTCCGTAATCATCTTTGAGTGTGCGCTGATAAATGTATTTTTTAACGTTATGGAAATGCAAAAAAAAAAAAAAAAAAAAATAA